ATATATATGTGTAGTGTGTGTGTGTGTTGTTGTTGTTATATATATATATATATATATATATATATATAGTATTGATTTATCTATCCATCGATCTATCTATCTATGTATCTGTCTACCTATCTATATATATATGCATATGCATATGCATACACATGCATATACGTACACACATATATATATACATGTGTGTGTATATGTATACGAATGTACTGCTGTCTGTGTATGTAAATGGTGTGTGTGTATACTTGTACTTTTGTTCATTTCTTTTTTAATCTAGCAAGCGAATCGACATCAAAATTTTGTGTTCTCAGCTGAGAGATGAAAACAAATGCCTCTGTCGTAATGTACAAATTATTTTTTTTAATTTTGGTGGCGTAAGTTGTCTGGTCACAACTTCAGCTTTCATCTTGTGCTTAGAGGGATATTTTTGTGACGGTAAATATGCGCAGGGATTGGATATAATGAAAGAATATGAACAGCTGATGGGCGACTGTTTCAAACGAGTGGCAAACGGCAACAAGGAAATCTACGAGCACCGTAAGTGAGCGTTCTCTACGCTACAGGTGTAGTGTGCAATTCAATGACTGTTGCTGAGTAGACCGTTTATTGTTGCGTTTCTCTTGCGATTTGACCGGTAAGAATCACTGTGGAAGCACACGCCCTTAATATTGACTTTTGAGGATTTGTGTATTGTATTACGATGATCTAACAGTGGGTATGTGTGCTGTGTAAGGGATGCTTGCTACATGTCTGGGGTGCAAGCGCTGGTATGAAGTAGACATACCTCGAGTACACTCTTGATCAGACTCTGTCCATCACAGCCCAATTAGGGCTGCCTCCACAGCTTTGGACGTTAAAAATCACGGTTGTTAGTCAGAGTCCTAAGAATCTTAAGGGTGTTTGCAGAATACATTATTTACCAATGCAATTATTCCCGTATACATTTTCTCACTCCCGGCAGTCAAGCGATCGGCTGTGCGTGGGTACGAACCGTGTGCAGATGTAAAGGCATACGATACCACATTCCCCATCCCCGTAGTGGGTCTGGCACTCTCGCAGACGACCGATGATGCGTTCCGTATTCTGTGCCACCATGATCGGGATGCCAGCGAACGAGCCAAGGCCACCAACGCGGAATGGTAGGTAAAAAGCATACTTGTAGGTTTACATATTGTTATGTGTATGTTATTCATTTCTGTCCACGATTGTTGTATACACATGATCTCACACAAACTACCGGCAATGAATTTTGTAGTAAACTGCCACAACGGTCAAGATTTGATGAATAATCGAGGGCTATAAATGCGAAACGTTGTCGTTTCAGAAATATCCGTAAACACGCACTTACATACGAATATGTATGTACATCTTGTGTACATATACCAATGTCGGTATACAAAACAAATGTGGATACAAAGGTTGTCCTGCTTTGCCAGTCGAAAGTAGACTGTTGCGTATCGGTTACCCGAGGTTATCGTACTATGTATGGATCATGTCTGGCAGGGCCCTGTGTATTCTCACTCAGTGCGGCTTCTGCTGGATTGTGATTCGATATGCAAATACCGACACACGCGCACGCTTGTGACTGAGAAAATTGGAATGCGCATACATGTCTATACAAGATGTCACACCAGAAAGAATGCATTGACCGTGTTCACGCATTTAATCTTCTTGATCGCCCAGGCAGAAGAAATATGACCAGCGCGAATCTCAATATCAGAACGGACTAGACTGCATGGAGACAACCCATCGAAGCGAAGCAAAGGCCAAGTCAGAGCAACTGCTGCTTTTGCAGCACAAAGTGTTCTCATTGGAGACTTCTCTGCGTGAGAAGGGGATTGTATGCGAGGAAGCCTTACCACATCTGTACAAGCGAGACCGTAGGTGGGCGGACGTACAAAGTAAGGGATCTAATAGTGCGAGCAACACGCGACCGAGCACACCACAAGAAACGCTTGTTGAAAATATGCGCGCACGCCCACACAGTGCACAGGGCAACGAGAGCACGCAGCTGCGCTACACGGGTAAGGAGAGAGAGGAGATCGTTGATGCGCTGAGAGAGGCTGAACATGAGCAAGTTAAGGTAGATCCGCATGAGAATAAGAACATTGACGCGCATGAAAAAACTCACTCAGTTGAACAAGGAAAATGGGTAGGGAAAGTGGTTGTGGATAATAATGAAGCAGCCAGCTTGGATGTGTGTGGACCTTTGGAGTACGAGGTGGCTGGCGTGACGCTACAGGACTCTGATGGCACGTTCCGGGGCACGGATGTGACCGAGGCACATGAGCAAACACGTACGAGATCACGGGCACATGAGCAATCACAGCAGCAAACTAAGCAGGCACGAGCTCTCATACAAGTGCAAGTACAGGAGACAGAGGGCCTTGTGCGAGCACACTCGGAAACGGAGAGCTGTCTGAAATGTACTAGTAGCCGGAATGCATCCACACACAACGGTGTCGATATGAATGGGGGGCTTCGGAATACTGCGAAGCGAAGCGACAGTTTAAATGATGTAGGGACTGGTCGTAGGTCATCGATAATTAATATGAATATCACTGGCACAGATGAGCACAATGGGAGTAGCAAAGTGAATGTGCCCAAAACCACCGTGACGGATCTGACGTCGCCGTTTACGAGGCGATACTCACTCATTTCATGCAACGCGGCAAGCAACAATGTCCGGGGGACCACTCTGACTGAAGAAGAGGTATATTCAACTCATATATATATATATATGTGTGTGTGTGTGTGTGTGCGTATATGTATTTATATATATATATATATATTGGACTCATTACATGTACTATACTTTACTTCATTTAAGCATATATATTATACTAGTTGTATATTTTATCTTTCCATTGGCGCATATATGGACTTCCCCTTTCATAGGGGATTTCTGTCAGGCACGATTGGGTGTATAGGACACTGCACTATTAGTGTGAATAAGGTTCGCTAAAGTTGGCAGTGATTGGCAACGCTGGTATCCTTCGGCAAGTTGGCGTCGAGAGGTAGTTGAAGCAAAAGTTTTTGTATGCATGAGTGAGTGTAGGTTTGAAAATCTCCACACTCATGATCATAGAAAACTTTGACTGTGTCCCATAACGCTATATATTGATGATTCATTATAAATCGCAGGACGAGACTCCAGTCGCCACTTCTACCGTCGGCAGGAGGAGAGGTCATCGTACTTCACGCTCAGTCACACTCCGTCCCGGAATAATCAGCGTGCACAGTTCTGGGACGCAGAGTGATCACAACAGCAAGTTATCGCCCCAGTTTAGACCCCATGACACATACACGGATATATTTGAACTGGAAGATGTGGATCTGAGCTTGAAGAACTCGACTGCCACTAACGAAGCACAGGATGCTCATTCGCACACGCACACAATCCCACTCGCTCGTACAAACTCACTCACACCCAATGCCTCACTCCTGCGCGCACAGCTATTTGCAGCGACACAAAGAGGTGCTAATAAGGGAAAGCATAGAATACACGCGGATACCTTCGATACATCGTTCTCTCCAACTTTGTCGCCTGGAACTGCGCGCAGAGCTACGACAAGTGCTGATGAGAAACACCTGAGCACACCTATAGCCAACTCTGGTATAGGTGGCTTCCAATCGATGAGCGATCCAAACACGAGCACCAATCTACATGCAAGCACAGCAACGCAAACATATACCCGTAAGCACTCTTCAGAAGGGACTGGTAGCACTCTACTGGGACGCACACACAGTCAGTCGAGTGTGGACCGGGGATCCACTGGTATGAATGTAATCGGTAATAGAACACATGGCAATAAGCTGACAAAACGGTCAACGGTCGCCAGTAGAAGCTCAGAGGGTGATTTTGGCCCGAGTTGTTTTACGCGCACTCTCTCAGTGTCCAATACTAACCTGAACGCACACAACACTGCAAGCTTTAGGTCTACATCCGAAAATAATAGTAATCTGAACCTAAGCGAATTTTCTGGTGCGAAGACCAGTGTCAGCTCAGGAGCCAGTCCCGAATCAAGTAGTATCAATTTCGGAAGTGGCTTGAGTTTGAATTCAAGAAGCGGACTGAGTATTGGGTCGCCGAAAAGGAATTCGATACGCAAAACGCGATCGGGCTCAGTGCACGCAGGGGGTGGGAACAGTGGCCCGAATATATCGGTCAACCCTGCAGTGCTGCGGAGCTATACGAACAGTAACTATAACAGAGCCAGAAGCAGCACCAATATATCAGCTAGTCAATATACCGGCATTGGCAAAGATAATATCAGTAGCGGCACCAATAACGGTACTACTCAGGCAATCAGTGGTGTTACTGACAACATTGATGGTGACGATAGGGAAGGGAGTGGTATCGAGTATGTCAAGGTTAATGTGCGGGGGGTGATAGTACAGGGACTGATGCAAAAGCACAGGAGGAGTGCTTCTTTTGATCCTCGTTTCGTGCAGAATGTGCGTGTAGGGGCCCAGAGCGCATCACCTTACAAGGCGAGCGAGAGCGGTTCACCATTGGAGAGTAATTCTGTTATGTCAGACTTTATGGGAGGCTTAGACAATACTAGCAATGTATCGGATGATAACCCTAAGGCAAATGTCAGCAGGCAATCAGTTGCCCGAAAATCATTCGGGTCGCCACTTTCAGTATCTCATAGTTTATCGCACCGTGGGGAACTGACTTTGGGAACACCCGATGATTTTGGTAATGCCATAGAGCACGATACGAACACATCCGCAAGCGTAATAGAATCAGATACACCTTTAGATCAGGACAGTCTGAATACTGATCGGTTTGGAAAGCAAGACTCTGAAAACATGGAAGATGGACATGGCGCAGATGATAAAACGGTAATCAACAACGTATCTGGTGAAGGTTCGTCTACTCAAGACGGTCACAACAGATCCCGACATCAAGATTGAGGGTAAAGGTAAAAAGGACGATGCTGTTGATCAAGTCGCCAAATTAGACCAACCAGTATCCACTGCAATACATACACTGACCTCGGTCACAACAGATTCTGACATCAGGATTGAGGGTAAAGGTGAAGAGGACGATGCTGTTGATCAAGATGCCAAATTAGACCAACCAGTATCCACTGCAGTACATACACTGACGTCGGTCACAACAGATCCCGACATCAGGATTGAGGGGGAAGAGGACGATGCTATTGATCAAGTCGCCAAATTAGACCAACCAGTATCCACTGCAATACATACGCTGACCTCGGTCACAACAGATCCTGACATCAGGATTGAGGGTAAAGGTGAAGAGGACGATACTGTTGATCAAGTCGCCAAATTAGACCAACCAGTATCCACTGCAGTACATACACTGACCTCGGTCACAACAGACCCTGACATCAGGATTGAGGGTAAAGGTAAAGAGGACGATGTTGTTGATCAAGTCGCCATATTGGACCAACCAGTCTCCACTGCAGTACATACACTGACCTCGGTCACAACACATCCCGACATCAGGATTGAGGTTGAAGGTAAAGAGGACGATGCCGTTGATCAAGTCGCCACATTAGACCAACCAGTACCCACGCAGAAGAATCATTCTCAAAATGGGAGCGGGAAAGGAAGCAAGAAGAAAAAGAAAAAACGAAGGAAGTAGTCTGTTAGTGTCCAATCTAGCTGCTGGTCCTGCATGTACGTATTCTGTGGAATCTGGTGTGTAGATATGGAATTATGCATTAATATTCTCATAGTCACATTTCGCAAATATGTCGCGCAATATTATACTTGGGTGCATCCAGGCTGAACGTAGTCGACACCCGCCAAATGAATGCTTATATTGCTTCTGGGGCGTTAAAGATTTGCTGGACCTACATGAAAGAAAGTTTATATGCACGTCCAACCTTGAATATTAGTTAGTCAGATAAACAAGAAGAAAGTGCTTGATGGCCAAATAAAAATAGATTGGAAGCGTTTAATTACGTACCCTGTGGCTGACTCATAGCCCTCTACTTGTCGATTTTTGAAGCTGTGATCCGATTCGCAGTCTCTGCATGGTATTACACTGTAACAGCATGCATGAGTGCATATCATTATCATTGATTGTTTATTGAATCATTATGATTCGACGTATTTAAATTTATTGAATCATAAGAATTTGGAGTATTTTTCCGGAGGCTGTTTTTCTAAAGTTTTTAGTTATATTGTGCTGAGTGGTCACCAGCACTATTTGGTCGGTACTTTTGCGACATTTACATATGCCACTCCATCGACAAGTGTGAAAAGGTCTTTTGTTATTGTTCAGCAAAACAGTTAGAGGTTTATCTTTTGTTACTGGGTGCTCCTTGATTGACATATTTATTAAGTCTTTTCTTGCTTTTTTTTCACAGTGTCACCTGTATATTAATGCTGTATAGTTGAAAAGTGGTGAACAGCGCCGTCAAACATAGTTGAAGCACGGCCTGCCATACGATCAAGTAGTCCCACAAGACTACAAAAGTTGAAACTATCCATAACACCTGTAGAGGGCGAGATAACCCCATCACTATAATTTCGGCGAGTTGCGCGATTATTTGGCTGCAATCGGTACATCATCAGACCAACAAAAAAGATCACTTCGAAAGTGATCATGTACGTTAGGATGGTGGCTGCTTTCATATCTGCAGTGTCATAAATATGGGCAGCAATGTGTTTGCGTAGGCAGCAAGATGATGTACGACTAGCAGACTGTGTGGGTTTCTGAATCTCGATGCCAATTCGAAGGGTTTAGATCATAAAGATGATCAAGATTTGCATCTTGATCTTGAAGTTTGACAATGATAGTAGTTCAAATTTAAACTCAAAATTAGGTATGTCATGGGAGCAAACAAATTGCCGAGGACGACAACTTCAATTGTATGGTGCAGGACTACTAATTGTTGATCATCAACCAGCTTCACATACACCGCCGAATACCGCGTCAACACTCGGTGTCCAATGATATACATAGGAGTCAGAATTAAGATAGCCACCAGTACACCCGAGCAAACTTTGTGGTCTATGAAAGTCCCCCAAACATCATGCGGGAGGGGAGGCATGTTGAAACCCCAGCATCGGATGACCACATGTTGTATTTATAATTTTGAACTTATGTACATATATTGATCGATGCTTCGTATTTACGCTCAGCCTATGCTGTATTTGATAAAATCTAAATGCTTCTGCGTATATTTTATATGCAAGTATCACTTGCAAATGCCGGCAAACACGCTACATTCCTGTGTAAATGGCATTCTTGAAGGGCATTCTCTTGTGTGAAAGGCATCTTCAATTCTAAACCAGCATCTCATCAGTCATCAGTCTCAACTCTCAGAATCTAGTGATTTAATAATAGAGGCCAATAAACTTTTCATAAAGGATGTCAATGTATAATTCATTGGCCTCTGCTTCTATATATAAAAATGATGAGTAAATCTGAAATCAGCCAAAATCACTGCAAAGTTTCTGTGGTTTTCCGATGGTGATTTTGCCCGTCGGGCTTGGGCGATAAAAATCACAAAGGTATTTTACTCTAGTCTCAGCCTCATTCATACACCAATCTCAGACTCCCTAGACTTGCTCTAAACCCCCTGCAACAACAACATCTATTAACATACTCGTAGCAATCCTCCCTGATCGCATCTTTCCACCGCCATCTCAGGGCGGACCGGCTACTTCTACTTCTAGATCAGACACACTGTTCCTTGTTGCTATGGTCATTAGCTGCCTCCTTCTTATTTTTACTACAAAGTGGCACACACTCTACCCTATATTAATTGAAAATATCAACGCTACAGATCCCTTGTCCCAGCGCATTGCGACTAAGGCAGTAGTGTGGCTAGGAAAAACACCCATAACACCAGGTATGAAACAAGTTGCCGCTCCACACCCCTAACTTCTTTAGTTATGTTAACTAACTCTATTGCGTATTGTATGCTACCATGAATTGCTGCTCGAGTTCTCCAAGAACGTACATAGTAGATTCGACCCTCTATTGAAAAAATGATCTGTCCACTTTTTTTAACATTATGGAACAAGGCTATGTGGCTTTGGGAAGTAAATGCAATGTGGAACAAAAGTAGATTCTGATTCGTCTCGCATACAGCAGCAAAAACAATAGCTCACGAGAATGCATTGTTTTACTTTTGTCTTTATAGATGTTTTGTTTACACAGGTTCAATTTACCTGAGGACATAGAGTTGGAGAATGCAGTTCACTAAGCGGCATGACCTCTTTTTGCTACGAATTTTACACACACACAGTAATTCATTGAGAGTAATTTTGTGAGCTGCCCTGGTATCGAGAATTTATAGTTGTATACATAGCTTTAGCTTCGGTATGTGGTCGAAGGTGCATATCTAACATTCAACCATTCTCAAGCACACATTCCATTGTCACTTCTAAGAATTTTGGAATAGTATCATTCCTATACTTCCTCTACTGCAAACCAATATTTTCTACATACCGTTGCCAGTCCCGAATTTCAGTTTTTAGACGCAACTGGCGTTTCTTTCATTTATTGTCTTGCGTTGCGTTTTTGTATGCAAATAGAGTGTCTTAAATTCTGTATTCGACTAACAGGATTTTTTGGGGTGGGCAGACTGTTGTTTTCGGAGTTAGAAATATAGTATTTTTCTGTGGAGTACCACGAAGGTGAATCTTGACAGGAGTTGGAAAGGATGGCGATTGATGGCGAAAGCCAAGAAATGCATGAAGCAGTGATCAATAAAACGCTCTATCAGGGCTATAGACTATGCCAGTGGCATCTCTACCCTCTGTTATTCCCTTCAACTCCTATGTAGCAACGACTTGGAATTGTCAGTTATTCTATGTTTTCGAAAATTCAGTGAAGGCTGAAATTTAATTGTTTACTCTGACTTTTCATTGATGATTCTTCAGATTGTTTGGATATGTTTGTGTGTACACACATGTGTGTATTGTGCGTGTGTGCTTGCGTGTGTGTGTGTGTGTGTTTGTGCGTGTGTGTGTATGTGTATATGTGTCAGTGTGTTAATTTTTTTAGTGTGTGTTTGCGTTATGTGTGTGTCTGCATTGATGTGTACGTACATATACCTATAC